GAAAAAAAAAGCCAACCTTCTTTGGGTCTCACTGGCTCCTAATTTATCAAATATTTACTTTCGGAAGCAAAGAACTTTTTTTTTGGTCTTTGTGAGACAGGGTCTGCCTGTAGCTCCAGCTGTCCTGGAACTCACTATGTAGACCAGGCTGGCCTTGAACTCACAGAGATCCGCCACCTCCCATGACTTTTATTAAACTTAAAACATTCTTTTCATTCCCATAAAAAGATGATTTTGTCATTTAGAATCAATCCTGTAACTTAACACCTACACGAAACACTCTGCCTTGAAGATACATTTAGGTGATAGGATCTCCAAATAAAAAATACCTAAAAATGATACTTCATGAAATGGAATGAGTCATAAGATCTGTTTAGAAACAATCCCAAACCCACCTCATATTATCACAGTTTAATAGGTATTTCTTGATCCTGGGGAGCTTCCTCAGGATCGGCTTGACATCTGTCATTTCTGCAATTCTCTTCATCAACCTCACCTGAACCAAAGGAGGCAAACACACTAAGTCAGACTCTGCCTTCAATACACTGCACAGTTCAAATACATTTTACCTGACAGAGTATCTGTGATTTTTCTAAAATATGGAGGAATGAGCCCAGTGTGGCAACACAAGCGTTTTGGAAGGCAGAGGCGGGTGGATCTCTGTGAGCTTGAGGCCAGTCTGGTCTCCATAGTGAGTTCCAGGCCAGCTGGGGTACAGGGAGACCCAAGGCTATTAGCTCTTATTATTTGTGAATACCATTGACATTAGTGTAGAGAGAATATTTTGATTTTCTTTCTCTATATTAAAAAGAACATGCAGGAATGGAGAGGTGCTCAGCGGGTAAGAGTGCAGGGCTTGTCGCTCTTGCAGAAGATTAGAGTTCAGTTCCTAGTACCCAGGCTGGGCAGCTCACCTGTAACTCCAGCTCTAGGGGGGGTACAATGGCCTCTCTGGCCTCTGCAAACACCTGCATGCATATACACACAGAGAGACTCAGAAACAAGCACCTAAATAAAAAATAAAATCTTTCCAAAAAAAAAAAAAAAAAAAGGAGGAATTATAGAAAAGTACATTTGGAGAGCAATAAGTTTGTAGATTTGTGTTTTCTTTTAAAAATAATTTTTAAAACTTATTTTACCTGCATGTTTTGTTTGTTGTTGTTTTTTGAATATTTTGTTTTGAGTCAGGGTCTCCCTGTAGCCACAGCTGGCCTGGAACTTCCTACATAGATGAAGTTGGCCTTGAGCTCACAGAGATCCACCTGCCTCTCCCAAGTGCTGGGATTAAAAACATGGGCCACCACACTCAGCTGTGTGTATACAGTGTTTTGTTTTGTCTACGTGCAGGTAAGTGAACCCTGTCCACAGAGGGCATCAGAGCCCCTGGAACTGGAGTTAAGGACAGTTGTCAGCCTTCGTATGGGTGCTGGGACGCTAACCTGGGTCCTCTGCAAGAGCAGTCAGTGCTCTTAACCATGAGCCATCTCTTCAGCCCCCAAGTCTGTAGGTTTAAATTACTGATTTCTTCTCTGGACAAAACTGGATAGCAAGGTTTCTTGACACTAGATCCTGGCTGAGCACCGGCTGTGTCCTGATTTTGTGCATGCATGTTCACATGTGTGTGTGCTGACTGCCACCTGGGGTGGTACTGGGAGAGGAGGTGGCAAAAAGCGGAAAAGTGAGTTCAGCCAACACTTTCCCCCATGAAGCCTGCAGATTGGAAATGAGAATTAAATGAGAAAGTCAGCCTTATGGTCTGGGTGGGTGGCGTGGTTTTCTGTATGTGTGAATGAGAGTGGAGACCAGAGGACAAGCTCAGCTGCTGCTGATCCTCAGGTGCTACCCACTTCTGTGAGACAGGCTGTCTCATAGGCTTGAGACTCGCCATGTAGGCAAGGCTGGCTGGCTCGTGTCCTCAGAGATCCGCCTGTCTCTCCCTTCTCAGCCCTGGGAGTACAAGCCGCAGCCATCATGCTGGGCTTTTAGAAAGTCAGGTTTCTGATAATCAAAGTACACTACCAGGGAACACTACAGATTCCAGGAGGCCTAGCTCACCCAGAACAAGCACCCGTTCCTTCCCAGTACCCACCTGGTCCATCCCACCGAAGGTCTCCTGTAAGTCTGCTGCAGGGGTGAGAGTCTTGCTTGCTCTGAGGGCTGCATAGAGGTGTCCAGAATCTGGAATCCCATTGGAGAGCTCCTGTGCGGCCATTTTCACCAACACCTTAAAGCGGTCTTCCTCTTCAAAGCACGGGCTGCAGAAAACAGAATAAACGCTCACAGAGACCCCCTCTATACCACGGGGTACAGGCTACCTCAACAACTTTCAAATTTTTCTGTATCATAGGAATTATAGGTATAAAGAAGATGAGGAATTTGACAAGTGAACAAAATCTGTGAAAATATTTCAGTTAAATCTGTGATACCTCCCACACATTAACGTATTTTGCAAACATACTTACTTGTTAAATATTTCAGTCCACAGATGCATCATGTCTGGCAGGTTCCGATCTAGGCAGAGAGATGAAAACAGCACACCCTAAATCATAGAGGAAATAAAAATACAAAAGACAGTAATTATGGCATAATTAAAAACAAAGACACTGTAGAAACAAGGTTTCCTGATGAACAGCCAAAAGGCAACCTGCTCATAGGTATCCAGGTGGGAGTCATCAGGGAGCACTTGGGGCGAGACAGTCATGCCTCCCGTCTTCAGCTCAATCTGCTGGGCTTGCTCTCTGTAGTCAAGGATGCCGCAGCCTAGTCTGATTGAGAAGAGAGGCACACCTGAGTACCAGGGCTGTCCGTGCCTATCCAGGTAACTTAATGCTAATTCATAACCACAGCTTTGCAAACCTCTCCTCACACACTTCAGTTCCTGGACGCATGCTGGCAGTAACCCTCCACACACAGCGTATCTGCCCCATCCCTGAGCCACAAACCCATTTCTCTAACTGGAACTCACATCCAGTGTCCAGGGCACAGACACTTGGGCAACAGCTAACTGCTGTGCTTTCCAGTCCTAAGCCTGGACACGTTTCATGTGTGTTCTCTTCCTCACAGATATCTCTGACATGTGTGCTCAAATATATGGCAATGGGGTCTGAAAATATGCCTTTCTGGGTTTTTAAGAAAAACCAAAATCCTCCGAGCTCTTAGAAAAAACATTCTCACTGATGTAAGGGCCTGGGGGACTACTGTGGAGAACTCTTGAAAGCTGCCACATAAGGGACAAACACTGGGGACTATTAAAAAGGGGGCTGGTGGGTGAGGAACTTCTAAAGGCCTAAGACATTTCCCAAACAATCCAATCCTCAGCCAGGGTACGAGTGCCACAATGTGGGGGCATCGTTATCTCCACAAGGTGAACACTAGATGAAATGGCAGTTCCCAGACACTGTGAATGATGGTTTAGGCTTCCGCTACAGTCCTGGAACAGGCAGCAACATCTACGACTTATCCTGCTACAGCCAAGAAGTGCACGTACTACTGTCAACCCAGCCGAACACCTGCCTAGGGATGAGCCCAGGGGAAAAGCCCACTGCACGACGAGCCCAGGAGAAAAGCCCACTGCATCATGAGCCCAGGAGAAAAGCCCACTGCACGATGAGCCCAGGAGAAAAGTGCACTGCATCATGAGCCCAGGAGAAGAGCCCACTGCATGATGAGCCCAGGAGAAAAGCCCACTGCATCATGAGCCCAGGAGAAGAGCCCACTGCATCATGAGCCCAGGAGAAGAGCCCACTGCATGATGAGCCCAGGAGAAGAGCCCACTGCATCATGAGCCCAGGAGAAGAGCCCACTGCATGATGAGCCCAGGAGAAGAGCCCACTGCATCATGAGCCCAGGAGAAAAGCCCACTGCATGATGAGCCCAGGAGAAAAGCCCACTGCATCATGAGCCCAGGAGAAGAGCCCACTGCATGATGAGCCCAAAAGCCCACTTCACGATGATCCCAGGAGAAAAGCCCACTGCACGATGAGCCCAGGAGAAAAGCCCACTGCACGATGAGCCCAGGAGAAAAGCCCACTGCACGATGAGCCCAGGAGAAAAGCCCACTGCACGATGAGCCCAGGAGAAAAGCCCACTGCACCATGAGCCCAGGAGAAAAGCCCACTGCACCATGAGCCCAGGAGAAAAGCCAAGGAAGAAGGATGCCACCAAGTTCTGCAAACACAACCCTCACACTGAAGGTTTTGTATTTCCTGACTAAATACAATCACCGCGCTTCAAAACTGTAAGGGATCAGCATCAAGGGATCGGCATCAGCAGTCATCTGTACAGCATTACCTGATTCTCTAGATTCGTGTTTTGATGTAACATATTTACAGGGAAAGAAAACAAATTCTGGACAAATACATTGTAGCTTTAATTCATGCACTTGAGGTTTAAAAATAAAATGTTCCCCACTTCCCCTTACTAACCCCTCCCCATACACCCAATTTACAGGCTCTATTATATACATGATAAGGCCTATATGGTCAAATTTGTCCTTCAGTGTGGGTCCATCCCCTGGAGCCTGGTTAACCCTCAGGATCCTTAATCTTGATCAGCAGCATCTGCCCTTTAAAAGAGTAGACGCTAGACAGCCTTGGGCCAGCTCTAGTGTAGAGTTCCCATCTCCCACTTGCTGTCCTAAAACCTAGCCCACTGTGATAGGAAAAGGAAACTAGAAATATTTTAAAAGTTACTTACTAGATAGAAAGTGATTCTTACCAGGACATGAAAACACCCCCCCCCACACACACACACCATAAAGATGCACTGAACAGCACAGACACGTATTGCATTCTGACGACTCACTTGGTCAGCACACTGCAGAAGAGGGGCACATAGGGCCTCAGTTCCTCAGGAAGGGTGTTTAAACTACAGAAGGCTCGGAAATATACCACGCCATTGGTGGGCTGGGCACAGTATTGCACGGGGATGTCTCCGGCTGGAAAATAGAAGACATTTTTGTTGTTTAATTAGTAAAAAAATTGTAACTAATTTTTTTAATGGGGCTGGAGAGATGGCTTAGTGGTTAAGAGCACTGGCTGATATACCAGAGGACCCAGGTTTCGTTCCCAGCACCCACATGACAGCTAACCATCCATAACTCCAATTCCAGGGAATCTGATGTCCTCTTCTGGCAAAACACTCATACATATATCTAAATTAAATCTAAATTAGGGGCGGGAGAGATGGCTCAGCAGTAAAGGGCACTGGTCCTCTTTAGAGGACCTGGGTTTGGTTCTCAGCACCTGCATGGTGGTAACAATTGTCCATTAACTCCAGTTTCAGGAGGATCTGGCACTTTCTTCTGACCTCCACAGGCACTGCATGACACAGGTGCACTTACATACATGCAGGCAGCATGCTCATACACATAAAATAAAAATAATAAAATATTTTTTAAAATTTTAATTATATTTCTTGATTGGTGTGTACTGTATGTGTTTGGGCATGTTTGTGCACATGTGGAGATCAGAGGACAACTTGGGAGAGTTAGTTCTCTCTATCACGTGGGTCTTGGGATTGAACTCAAGTTATCAGGCTTGGCAGCAAGCACCTTTATCCACTGAGCCATCTGACCAGCCACACTTAGTAAAATTTTGATAATTTTTGTGTTTTGAGACAGGGTGTCATAGAGCCAATGCTGTCCTCAGACTCATGATTTATGGCGTTGAACTTGTGATCCTCCTCCTTCCATCTCCTGAGTGGTGGGATTACAGGTGTGGGCCACCATTCCTGGCTTATGCAATGCTGAGGATCAACCCCAGGGCTCTGTGCATGCTACATGAGCACTCCTGCAACTGCGCTGTATGTTTGCCTCGTACCACTTAAGTTTCCCCACTGCACATCCATTATATGAGATGGAAACAATCTATATAAGGTAATTCTTGCTTCCTGAAGCTTTGGGATGGAGAATAATCATGCTTTCCTGGCTGCTTAGCTCATTACAGCACAGCCTGGCTGTCCTGGCTCGCCTCCGCCTGTGTCCTTCATTGAACGCCTCCTTTTCATCAACATGAACTTGACCAGGCCAGTCCCACCACTCCGACCCCACCATTTTATCTACTCCATATGCTGTTCAGCTCCCCTAGTAAGTCCTCCCACCCTTCAGGAGCAGTGCTCCCCTCCCCCCACCGATCCACCAGGGCCCCACAGCCCCCAGCAGGTTATTTTACTATTTTCTTAGGACCCAGGAGTCCTTAGGGCATCTTCCAGTGTCTGGAGGGCAGGTACTCTGGTTCTGTTTTTATAACCATACCCAGCACAGTGCCCTAAACTGGAAGAGGAACCAGAACATTTGCTGGTGATTAATTTATCATCCCTAATTCACCCACAGGAAGACTCAAACCCTCATCTGATTCCAGAGCAGAAAATTCCCCTGCCACCACCAAACCCACTCATGGGAAGACAAGAAAGGGTCTATGGTCACTGAGGGTCAAAATAATTCACAAGGGCCGAGAGACAGCTCAGTTGGTGAAATGATTTCACGCAAACACAAGGACCTTAGTTTGATCCTCATAACACTTGCGATCCCAGAGCTGGGGCGGTGGAGACAGGTGGATCTCTGCCTCATCGGTGAGCCAACCTGGTCAGACTGAAGAAGCCCAAGCTGCACTGAGAGACACTGTCTCAATAAACAAGTGGACAGCAGCTGAGGGATGTGTCGACACCAGAGGTACCCACCTGCACACATGTGCCTCTGTACCCACATAAACAAGCACACACATCCAAACACATCCCAAGCACAACCCTGCCCATGTGAAAACCACTATTTAACTCAATCCCGGGGCCCAGGCAGCCACAAAAATCAGTGTTGATGGTGACCTGCCAAGGACACGTCAAACTGGATGAAAGGTATGGAGGGTTCAATGTCAGAGACTTTCAGTGCTGGGAGACAGGAGGCATCTTGAGGTTTACTTTGCTGAGTCCGTAATTCTAAACCTAAAGAGGGAAAAACAGAAATAGAGAGTGAAAAGGAGACATGAGCAATCCTGACTCCCAACTTCCATGTTCTGTGTTCTTCATCACCACCAGCTTGGATTCAGAGGGTGCTCCAGGCTACCCTCTGACAGCATGTACACATCGAATAAAGTACCCGCTGTCTCAGGCAAATCAGGAGTCCCTACAACTTTCTGCAACCCCCCTGGCACCCCACTGCCCCCCTTTTGCAGGCACCATGGTCAGCATTCCAAATATCCAGCTGTGTTTCTTTCTCCTTTTCCCAAATCACAGGGCCCTCACGTAAGGACTTCAGTCTTTCACAGCATACAGATATCAAAAACATGGGAAATTACACTTAAAGAACTTCTCACTGGTACACATCTCCTGACAGGGCTTTAATTCTCAGACGTTCGTTCCCAACAGACTTGAAATACAACCATTAAATTCACTGGCACTGGGCCTACTTTAAAAGAACTCTCCAGAGAATTACACAGACAAAATAACTCTTACAACATGAGCATCACTCGTTAACATCTTGGCTGGACTATAAAATACTAAATTTTGTTAAGAAGAAGCACACCGCACAGTCAAGTCCCAGATGCTGATAATTTGGAAATAATTGAGGCTTTGTTTTACAACACCTTTTTTTTTTTGTTCAGTATTTTTGAGACAGGGTCTCCCTGTAGCCCCAGCAGGCCTGGAACTCACTATGTAGACCAGGCTAGCCTTGAACTCACAGAGATCTGCCTGCCTCTGTCTCCCGAGTGCTGGGATTAAAGGTGTGCGCCACCACGCCCGGCTGTATAATTTTGAAATAATTTGGGCTTTGGTTTACAACCCCTTTTTTTTTTTGTTCAGTATTTTTGAGACAGGGTCTCCCTGTAGCCCCAGAAGGCCTGGAACTCACTATGTAGACCAGGCTAGCCTTGAACTCACAGAGATCTGCCTGCCT